ATCAATGTGATACAATACATTAACAAAAGAAAGAACAAGAATCATATGATCCTCTCAATAGATGCAGAAAAAGCATTTGACAAAGTACAGCATCCTTTCTTGATTAAAACTCTTCAGAGTATAGGGATAGAGGGTACATACCTCAATATCATAAAAGCCATCTATGAAAAACCTACAGCGAATATCATTCTCAATGGGGAAAAGCTGAGAGCTTTTCCCCTAAGGTCAGGAACGTGGCAGGGATGTCCACTCTCACCACTGCTATTCAACATAGTATTAGAAGTCCTAGCCACAGCAATCAGACAACAAAAAGAAATCAAAGGCATCCAAATCGGCAAAGAGGAAGTCAAACTCTCACTCTTTGCAGATGATATGATACTTTATGTGGAAAACCCAAAAGACTCCACCCCAAAACTGCTAGAACTCATACAGGAATTCAGTCAAGTAACAGGCTATAAAATCAATGCACAGAAATCAGTGGCATTCCTATACACCAACAACAAGACAGAAGAGAGACAAATCAAGGAGTCGATCCCATTCACAATTGCACCCAAAACCATAAGATACCTAGGAATAAATTTAACCAAAGAGGCAAAGGATCTGTACTCAGAAAACTATAAAATATTCAGGAAAGAAATTGAAGAAGACACAAAGAAATGGAAAAACGTTCCATGCTCATGGATTGGAAGAACCAACATTGTGAAGATGTCGATGCTACCTAGAGCAATCTACACATTCAATGCAATCCCCATCAAAATACCATCCACCTTTTTCAAAGAAATGGAACAAATAATCCTAAAATTTGTATGGAACCAGAAGAGACCCCGAATAGCCAGAGGAATATTGAAAAAGAAAAGCAAAGCTGGCGGCATCACAATTCCGGACGGACTTCCAGCTCTATTACAAAGCTGTCATCATTAAGACAGTATGGTACTGGCACAAAAACAGACACATAGATCAATGGAACAGAATAGAAAGCCCAGAAATGGACCCTCAACTCTATGGTCAACTCATCTTTGACAAAGCAGGAAAGAATGTCCGATGGAAACAAGACAGTCTCTTCAACAAATGGTGTTGGGAAAATTGGAGAGCCACATGCAGAAGAATGAAACTGGACCATTTCCTTACACCACACACAAAAATAAGCTCCAAATGGTTGAAAGACCTAAACGTGAGACAGGAGTCCATCAAAATCCTAAAGGAGAGCACAGGCAGCAACCTCTTCAACCTCAGCCGCGGCAACTTCTTCCTAGAAACATCACCAAAGGCAAGGGAAGCCAGGGCAAAAATGAACTATTGGGATTTCATCAAGATAAAAAGCTTTTGCACAGCAAAAGAAACAGTCCACAAAACCAAAAGACCATCGACAGAATGGGAGAAAATATTTGCAAATGACATATCAGATAAATGGCTAGTATCCAAAATCTATAAAGAACTTATCCAACTCAACACCCAAAGAACAAATGATCCAATCAAGAAATGGGCAGAAGACATGAACAGACATTTTTCCAAAGAAGACATCCAAATGGCCAACAGACACATGAAAGAGTGCTCAACATCGCTCAGCATCAGGGAAATCCAAATCAAAACCTCAATGAGATACCACCCCACACCCGTCAGAATGGCTAAAATTAACAAGTCAGGAAACGACAGAAGTTGGCGGGGATGTGGAGAAAGGGGAACCCTCCTACACTGTTGGTGGGAATGCAAGCTGGTGCAACCACTCTGGAAAACAGTATGGAGGTTCCTCAAACAGTTGAAAATAGAGCTACCATACGATCCAGCAATTGCACTACTGGGTATTTACCACAAAGATACAAATGTAGGGATCCGAAGGGGTACGTGCACCCCAACGTTTATAGCAGCAATGTCCACAATAGCCAAACTGTGGAAAGAGCCAAGATGTCCATTGACAGATGAATGGATAAAGAAGATGTGGTATATATACACAATGGAATATTATGCAGCCATCAAAAGGAATGAGATCTTGCCATTTGCAACGACATGGAACTGGAGGGTGTTATGCTGAGTGAAATAAGTCAATCAGAGAAAGACATGTATCATATGACCTCACTGATATGAGGAATTCTTAATCTCAGGAAGCAAACTGAGGGTTGCTGGAGTGTTGGGGGTGTGGGAGGGATGGGGTGGCTGGGTGATAGACATTGGGGAGGGTATGTGCTATGGTGAGCACTGTGAATTGTACAAGACTGATGAATCACGGATCTGTACTTCTGAAACAAATAATGCAATATATGTTAAGAAAAAAAAAAGAAGAAGATAGCAGGAGGGGAAGAATGAAGTGGAGTAAGTCGGAGGGGGAGACGAACCATGAGAGACGATGGACTCTGAGAAACAAACTGAGGGTTCTAGAGGGGCGGGGGTGGGGGGATGGGTTAGCCTGGTGATGGGTATTAAAGAGGGCACATTCTGTGTGGAGCACTGGGTGTTATGCACAAACAATGAATCATGGAACACTACATTAAAAACTAATGATGTAATGTATGGTGATTAACATAACAATAAAAAATTATTAAAAAAAAAGAAAAAATAGCCTGGTCTTCTGAACCAAGATGAAGTCTCTGAGCTGATTGCCTTGCTTAGCTAGGAAAGCCTCAAAAATCACTGAAACACACAGTACACTCAGAAATTTTATTTCCTATTGAGGGGCACTTGGGTGGCTCAGTCAGTTAAGCATCCAACTCTTGGGTTTCAGCTCACGTCATGATCTCAGGGTTGTGAGATCAAGCCCTGAGTCGGGCTCTGCACTCAGTGCGGAGTCTGCTTGATTCTCTCCCTCTCTCTTCCCCTTTGCCCCTCCCCTCACTCATGTACACATGCAATAAATAAATAAATACTTAAAAAAAAATAAAGAAATTGTATTTCCTGTTGAAAGGAGCATGCCCTAACACAGAAAAAGAGAAATTGGTATGGAACATTTATAACCAAGAACATGGGCAGAAATTGGGTCCTGGAAATACAAAAGATATTCTATTTACAGAATGAAATTTATTTTAATTTTTTTAAATTTATTTATTTATAAGTAGGCTCCATACTCATCGTGGACGCCAGTGCAGGACTTGAACTCATGACCCTGAAATCAAGACCTGAGTTGAGATCAAGAGTCAGAGGCTTAACCAACTGAGTCACTCAGGTGCCCCTGAAATTTATTTTTATGTAAGGAAAAACGGCACTATATATATGATAAAACTAACAAAATGCAGAACCTTATTTTTAAGATTACATATTTTTTACAACTTATTTTCTGCACAAAACCTACTATTCTTTGCTGAGATCATGTTCTTCATATTTTTTGTTAAAAAGTAATTTTACAGAATAAAGGTGGTAAATGATAGTTTATTTTTTTGTTTTCGCTTTTAATGTTTTTACTAAGCAAAACACTTTTGTACTAGTTAGAAATCTGAAAGTGTAGAAATGACCACTGTAGGCAACAGAAGCCATGAAGGTTTTAAGCAAGGAAGTAGACTGCCTTTTAGATCGATCATCTCTGGCACCTGAGATGGCTGAAATGTATCTGAGAAGCTGTAAACTAGACGAGAAGGCACTGGAGAAGTACCACAGTAGAGGAGAGGAAAGGACATAGGTTAGGAGACTAGGACAACAGAACAGGCACAAGGGGAGATGAGAGCCTGAACGGAGCAGAGCTACAGGAGAGAAATGGAAAGAGGATCAAAATATTTAGAGCCACAGTCCTCAAAGTATGGCCCCCAGCCGGCACCCTCAGCAGGGTCAGAAACGCAGAAGCTCAGCCCCACTCCAGACCTACTGAACTAGAAACTCTAGGGGTATGACCTAGTAATTTGTGTTTTTAGCAAGCACTCTGGGTTATTTTAATACACAGCAAAATCTGAGAACCACTGAGTTAGGTAGTAAAATCAGCAAAACTCAAAGTGATTGGCTGGCTACAGGAGGAGAAAGGCAGGGAAGAGCGAGGCAGGTTTCCAGTTCCATCAAAAATGTGGGAAAACTAAATTTCTGCAAGGAAAAGAGAAAACTAAACACAGCATTGTATCTTTTGAAACTATTCTATGGAAAGAAAGGATAAGCACAGGGTCCAGAAAATTACTCCTCTGACATTATTACACATGGAAAGGTCAGTTGAAGAAAGAGAAACTTGGCTACAAAGCAATGGAGGCTGCAAACAGCACGTAATAAATGGTAAACAATTAGCTCACGTCGTACTGGCATCTGCAAGTCTCAGGTCTAATCTGTGGGAAAAGTAGCACAAGTAACATCAAATGCCCTCTGTGATACATTAAAAAAATTCTTGTAGAAAAAAGCAGCCTTTAAGCAGCATGCTTACTATTACTATCACTTCTCGGCACCCAAATTCCATTCAAAAGGCAGCGGGAACAAAAGGCTTATTTACTGTGGGCTCCCCGGCAGTGAAAGAGCCAACAGTCAACAGTGAAGTGGCCTTCAAACAGCAGGTTTATAATCAATTAATACATTTACAAAATTCCTCTTGCTACCCCCTTCCCTCTACTCTGAAGGCCCCCTACTACACTCTGAAGGAAATGGTATAAATTCCTCCCAAGAAAACAGGCCCCACTCTGGCTTCCTGAGGCAAAAAACGCCATAGTGGCTACCTCAGTGAATTTCCACAAAGATCATCCTCCAACCATTCGACTCGAGTTTTCAGTTGCCAGAATGCTGATAGCTGCTTTATGTGGTTAAAATGTTTGCTAAGTGTATGACTATGGACCAGCAACAGACAGGACTAGAATGTAAATTGCCTTCTCTGGCATCAGACATGTAGGGTTACCCTGCTCCCACTTCTCTGGGTTAGATCGAGCACAGAACAAAAACCGACCTAACGGCTTGAAAATGTCTCAGTCTCCACATCACTTCAAAAATCTCAGGAGGCCAACACTGGGGCAGGGGTGGATGTCCCTTAAATTAAAAACTTGTCTCTCCAAAATGTGTATACAAGTCTAGTTTTAAATTTTTTAAAAAAGAAAAGAAAGAGTCCTACTCACTCAGTTCTTTGCCAACTGCTGCCACAACACAGTTCTTAGGTATTTCAATCAAAGCACTGATCCCTTAAAAAATATATAAAACAAAGGTCAAATTATTTTCTTCAAGGATGACATCAAAAATAAAAACATTCTCAGATTTATGTCAGTCATTTCCCATAAAAGCGGTGGTAACAGTAAAGCTCACACAGTTTGCTACGCCACACTTCTGTGGCTTACCTAAACATGGAAAATGATTCTGTGAAAAGTATGTGAGACCTAAAGAAGACACTGATTTACTAAGGGCAGAATATGCTCTTTGAACATTTTTACTATTGTGGTCATCTTTTTTACCAGGAATCCCTTAGGATAATCACCATGATCATTTACAAGATAGCTAGCTCGAACAAGATGCAAAGTTGGCATTTTCCTCAATGTAAATTTAAAAAGCCTGAGCAGACCCCCTGGCAGTAAATGAGTTTAGTCACAACAATCAATAGCTAAGAACATGGCTTTCAAATAGCATGTTTATAATCAATTAGTACATTCACAAAATTCCTTGTATTACTGGAAGAGTAAGAGAGTTCTGAGTATCTTTTTATAGCTGAATCATGAAATGATTTTAGGGTAACCCTAACTTTTGTAAAAGACATTACAATTATTACTTTGTCAACAAGAATTGATATATTAGATTCAGAGCCGCCATGAGCTGGTAAAAAAAAATTTTATTGAAGTTAATTTTCCATATGTAATTTATATCTATACAGACACACACAAATACATATGTAATTTCTAATACATACAAATTTGGAAAATATTCTACTCATTTGCTTTAACTTCCCACCCATCAAAAAACTAGCACTCTTAGGGTATGGGGAGTATTTCTAACCTAAATCTTTTCTCCATGTAGAGTTGTTTTGACAGTATGCTTTCTGTTTTTCCATGTTCAAGGAGGAGGAGGAGATAGTGGAAGAGGAGAAAGGGGGCGAAGTTGTACAAGCTAAAAAGTAGAGGAGACAGGAGAGCAGGGGAAGAGGTAGCAAGACGAGAATTCTAGATGCAGTAAACAGCTCATTAAAACATTGTCACAGGAATAAAAGGTACAGCACAAGGAATATAGCCAATGGTACTGTAATAACACTGTACAGTGGCAGATGGCAGCTACACTTGTGGTGAGCACAGTATAACATATAATTGCTGAATCACTATGTTATACACCTGAAACTAATGTAACATTGTGTCAACTATACTCGAATAAAAAAAATGTTTATCAAATAATGAAAATACTGGAAACTCAGCAATCTAGAAGCAGCAACTTAATGTACAAATCACAGAACATACTGCTTTTGGAAAAGGAAAGATATCTGTGTTCTAGGCCAAGGTTCTTTCCATTGCATTGTAATAGGACTATCCTTGCTTATTTCCAAATATAGAATAACTGCCCCCAGAAGCCCTGCTAGCCTAAAATCAAGCAAGCCTTATGAAAGAAGCTTCCTGAGCTAAAGGTCTAAGAGCACTGCTAATTCAATGGCATCCTGTAATCTGGAAAACCCAAATCACAAAAAGCTCACCAATGGTACCCTATGGTCTTCTCAAAGCTTTCTAAAAGATTTTCTCAAAGGTTTCCACTATCTCTCGAGACACTGATAAATAGGGCAATACTGTGATTACCTAGCAGTACTCCAAGATAACTTGTAAAAGAAAGGGAGACTACAGTAATAGGTGGTTCCTTACACTAACATACAAAACATTTTCGTTAGCCCTGATTTCAGTATCTCACAACATAGATACTGATAATTCATGGAATAAAATTCACAGGTAGCCACAAGCTAATGTAAGAAACACAAAGGAAAATATATATGTAAATAAAGAGATGTAACTCATAATAGGAAATTTGAAAATACAGTCTAGATACCACCAAGATTACTAGTGATCAAACATTCAATGGAAAAGTAAAACTGTAATCCCAGAACAGTATGGATTTAGTTTTGCTAAGACATCACGTTGGTTTTCTAACATTTTATAGTATCTATGTGGAGATGCGTTAGTTCCAATTATGAACTGTAAATTAAATTTACAGGGCTCCTGCTACCTGTAAGACATCAATATGCTTAATAATGTTCTTTCTACAATGTCCATGGGTTTATCTGATTACTTTCAGAAACAAACATAGTTAACAGTGTATCACATGACTTCAAGGTTATTACTCAAATTTACTCATTTATACTTAAATATTTTTACTCTGAATAGTTTTTAGTTTTATTTTTTTAAGATCCTTGGTATCAGAAGTCAAAACTGATTTTCTTCTGTTAAAACCAAAAATATCAACCAAATTCTGAGAAAACAGAATTTTATTAGTAAGTCTGCACAATGTATGAACTTTATAGCAAAACCAATTGTAAAATGAAGTCATCCTTTGGAATCTATTCAAAGTCCAATAACCCCACAAATAAAGAAGGAAATGCTATTATAAAGTCAGAAAGGTTTAATTCCACGTGTCAATGTGTTCATCAAACTCAGTTTAGGAACAGAGCCCAAGGGCATAAATGAAAAGGTTTTTCTTGACCACTTTTGCGAAATGCTGTTAGAATGGAAGGGAAGGCCAAGAGGAGGGGCAGGATCATCTCCCTCCAATTTGAGATGGAAATATATTTTACGCAACCATGAACCTGAACTGGAGAAATACGGTACAGGATATATTCAGAATTGAAAAGAAAAATCCCCTATATTAACCTCTGTATTCATGGAAAGTCTCTTTGAAGATTCATTATGTCTTTTAAAGCCCATCAATCATGGTTCATAATTACTTTGATTTGTTTTCTTACCTGTATCAGAAAGGTGACTGGTCTTACACAGGAGATCTAATTTTTGGTTCCACACACATAGGTCATTCCCACCAGAGAGCCAAACATTTAGTCTCTGAAGAACAATTAAACACTGCAAAATTCATGTGAAATGTAAATCAGTTTAGAATTTCAAGCATTCACTGGTGTTTTTCAAATATGTGCACAAGTTCTTTGCTACCATTCTCTTAAGGGATGAAGCTTAAGTCTCCCACTCTTGGATGAGGGCTCTCCTAAGTGACTAGCTTCTAACAAATAGAATGTGGCAGGAGGGATGGTGTGTGACTTATAAGACTACGTCATAAAAGACATGGTGGCTTGCTCCTAGCTCCCTCTTGAGATCACTCACTCTAGGGCGAACACATACAAGCAGCCATATGGAGAAAGATGCACATGCAAAACAGTGAGACCTCTGGACAAAAGCCAGCACTACCTTACCAAGCACGTGAGCCCCCTAGGAACCTCCAACCCCAGTCAAGCCTTAGGATGACAGCAACTTCATAATACACACTGAGCCAGAACTACTTAGTTCAGCTGCTCTTTACTCCTGACCACAAATACTGAGGTAATATTTACTGTTTTAAGCAACTAAGTTTTGAGGTAATTTGATACTCAGTAATAGATAATACCCAAGGCTTAAACAAACTTCCTTTAAAAATAAAAATGGAAATATGACCTTAGTTTTTATGTAATTGTCAAATTAATAGCTCCTCATCCTTAACTTAGGAAAATGAGTGTTTCAAGTCTACAGAAGTCCTTTACCTTGAATAGTAGTTTAAAGTCCACACCTTTAATTGTACTCTGCCCATCCATGACTCTGAGTTGAGCACAAAGGTAAGAGTGACAGAGAAGAATAAAAAAGAAAAGGTGGTCTTGTCTAAGCAGAGGGTGGGGTTGCTTTTAAAGCTGCTGGAATAAAAAGGTTTGAAAATAATGCAGTTTATATTTCAAGAGTTCACTATGGTGAGCGCTGTGAATTGTGTAAGACTGCTGAATTACAGACCTGTACCTCTGAAACAAATAATACATTATATGTTAAAAAAAAAAAAAAAAAAAGACAGAAGAAAAGAAAAAAAGAGGGGGGAAAAAGGAGGGGGAGACGAACAATGAGAGACTATGGACTCTGAGAAACAAACTGAGGGTTTAGAGGGGAGGGGGTGGGGGGATGTGTTGGCCTGGTGATGGGTATTAAAGAGGGCACGTTCTGTGTGGAGCACTGGGTGTTATACGCAAACAATGAATCATAGAACACTACATCAAAAACGAATGATGTAATGTATGGTGACTAACATAATGTAATAAAAAAAAAAGTTCCTACCCTAATTTTTGAATGTTTAATATTTCAGTACTTTGTTCCTTTTTTTGCCAAATAATATTCCACTATATGGATTCAGTACATTTGTCCATTCTCAGTTGGTGGACATTTACTTTCTTTTTGTATTATGTATAGTGCTGCCATGAACATTCATGTACAAGTTTTTCTGTGGACATACATTTTCATTTCTCTTGACAATGAAATAGGAATACCTACTAGTGAGATTGTTAGGCCAAATGATAACTCTTTAACATTCTGATGAACAAACAACTTTCAAGGTAGCTAGACCATTTTACAATTTCAGTGGCAACATATGAAGGTTCCATTGTCTCCTTTTCACTTGTTATTACCTGTCTCAGATATTAGCCATCTAGTGTATATGAAATAGTACTGCATTATGGTTTTGACTTGCATTTCTCTAATACCTAATGATATTGACCTTCTTTTCACATGATTATTGGCCATCTGTATATATTCTTTGGAGAAATATCTTTCACAGTATCTATTTTTTTAATAATTTTTTATTGTTATGTTAATCACCATACATTAGTTTTTGATATAGTGTTCCAAGAGTCATTGTTTGTGCATAACACCCAGTGCTCCACGCAGAATGTGCCCTCTTTAATACCAATCACCAGGCTAACCCATCCCCCCACCCCCCCAGAACCCTCAGTTTGTTTTTCCACAGTATCTATTTTTAATTGGGTTCTTTTTATTGTTGAGTTTTAAGAGTGCTTTATATATTCAGGATACAAGTTCCTTATCAGATATATGATTTGCAAATATTTTCTCCCATTCTATGGGTTATCTTTTCATATTCTTGATAGTGTTCTTTGAAGTATAAACACTTTTCTTTTTTTTTTTAAACATTTTATTTATTCATTTGAGACACAGAGATACTGACAGAAAGAGAGAGCATGAGCAAGGGGAGAGGCAGACAGAGAGGGAGAAGCAGGCTCCCCGATGAGCCAGGAGCCCAATGTGGGGCTTAATCCCAGGACCCTGGGATCATGACCTGAGCTGAAGGCAGACGCTTAACCATCTGAGCCACCCAGGCGCCCCTAAACGCTTTTCATTTTGATGAAATCCAATTTATCACTTTTTTTTTTGTTACTGTATTTTTGGTGTCATCCAAGATCCCTAACTCAAGATCACAAGTATTTTCTCCCATATTTCTTCTAAGAGTTTTTACAGTTTCAGCTTTTATTATGATCTTTGATCCATTTTGAATTAATTTTTATATATGACATGAGGCAGGGATCCAATTTCATTTTTTTGTATGTGGATATCCAGTTGACCCAGCATTATTTGTTGAAGAGACTATTTTTGCTCTTTTTGAAAAGTCTTGGCAACCTTGCCGAAACTCAAGTGATCAAATATGTGAGGTTTTATTTATGGACTCTCAATTACATTTCACTGATCTGTGTATCCTCCTTATCCAGTACCACTGTCTTGATTACTATAGCTTTGTAATAAATTTTGAAATTGGGAACTTTGACTCTTTTAATTTTGCTTTTTATTTTCAAAACTGTTTTAGCTATTCTGGGGTCCCGTGCACTTCCATATCAATTTTAGGATCAGTTTGTCAATTTCTGGGGGGCAAAATGTCTGCTGGGATTTTGGTGGAGACAGTGTCCAATATGCAGATCATTTTGGGTAGTGCTGCAATCTTTTTTTTTTTTTTTTTAGTGCTGCAATCTTAACAATATTAAATCTGATCCATGAATATGGAATGACTTTCCATTTCCTCAGTTTATTTTAAAAAATGTTTTGTAGTTATTCATGTGCAACTCTCTTGTTTCTTCTTTAAATTTATTTCTATGTAAATTTATTCTTTTGGATGCTACTGTAAATTCATTTCACTTCCTTAGTTTTTCTTAATTTTTTTTTCTTAGTTTCATTTTTGGATGTTCATTACTAGTGTATAGCAATACAATTAATTTTGTATACTGATATAGTGTACTGAAACCTTGCTAAATTCATTTATTAGTTTTAATAGTTTTGGCTATGAATTTAAGATTTAGTATATAGATCACGTCACTTGTAAATACAGTTTTATTTCTTCCTTTTCAATATGGACACCTTTTATTTCTTTTTTATTGCCCATAACACTGAACAGTGCCATCCTTGTCTTCTTTCTGGTCTCAGGGGAAAAAGTATCCAGTTAGTCTTTCACCATTGATGTGACGTTAGCTCTGGGGTTTTCACAAATGTCCTTTGTTATGCTGAGGAAGTTCTCATCTCTTCTTAGTTTGTTGACTATTTTTACCATGAGAGGGTGCTGAAGTCTGTAAAATGCTTTTTCTTCATCTACTCAGATGATCATGCTTTTGTCCTTTATTCTTACTATGGTATATTACAGTTATTGATTTTCAGATGTTAAACTGAAATAAGTCTTATTTGGTCATGATGTATAATCCTCTTTATATGCTGTTGATTCGGCTTGCTAGTATTTTGTTAAGGATAATATACTTATTTTCTCACTTAACACCTTATTAGAATTTTCCAAACTCCTTATGAATTCTCTGAAATACCATTTTTAGCATATCTATCTACTGCAATTTAAGTATTTTCCTGTAAGACATTTAGGATACTGCCAATCATTCATTTATAAAATATATCTTCAATAGACATTTCCATTCATAAATCTCTGCCTTTTTTTAAAATTATTTCCTTTAAAGAGTTTTCTATAAGTAGAATCTCTGGGTCAATTCATGTAATCATTTTAAAATTTTCATTAATGGGTGCCTGGGTGGCTCAGTTGGTTAAGCAACTGCCTTCAGCTCAGGTCATGATCCCAGAGTTCCAGGATCGAGTCCTGCATCAGGCTCCCTGCTCGGTGGCGGGGGCGGGGGGGGAGTCTGCTTCTCCCTCTGACCCTATCCCCTCTTGTGCTCTCTCTCTCTCTCTCTCACTCTCTCAAATAAATAAAATCTTTAAAAACTAAAAATAAAATTTTCATTAATAATGTCAAACTGTCTTCTAGGAATATCTTCAATTTATACCTCAACAGCAATAAAAATGCTTATTTTTATAAGCATTATGAAGCATAACTTCACCATTTCCTTGCTAATACGAACCCTTATAAAGACTTTACTAGCTCAAAAAATGAATAACAGTATTTCTTATATTAGGGATCTGAATTTGATAAATTATCTCTTCAAGAAGAATGAATTAGTGAAATAAAATGAGTGAAATGCTATTTTTAACAATGTCTTATGTGAAACATGATCACAGCAGGAGTAAATACAAACATCTAACTAACATTATAGTAAAACCTCTTTAAAAAGTACTTTCACCATACTGGAATAAGATACCTCTTAATGATCAGCTCCTATAGACAGTTCACCAAAGGAATTTGTCCAAAATACACTAAACTTTTTCTCCTGTTCCTATTCTCTATTCCTTCACTCATGTATTTTCATTTGAAACCTTATGACCTCTGTCAAATAGCAAGAATATTTTTTAGGGAATTTTAAAAAAGCATCTTTTCAGATCAAATAAACCATAGAAATTCTCATCAAATCAATACTTTAATAATTTCCTCAAAGAGAGTCCACTGTTAAATTGGATACAAGCATTTCTGGGCACTTTCTTCCCTGGAAACTCTACTAAATTGATAATAAGAATAGCAATGGTAGCACAAGATGTCTACCATAGATGCTGCTTTTTAGGAAAAAAATCAAATACCTTGATTACTGGCACACAGCAATTCTTTTTACATTAAAAAAAAGTGTTAGTTCCAATATAAAGACAAATTAAAACAAATAAGGAAACATCACATTTTACAAGACTCTCTCCTCAAACTTGCTGACATTATTGAAAAACCGTGGCACTTTCTAAGAACATCCAAGGTGATTTCTTCTGTAGGAATCAAAGTCACCACGTCCTCTCCAACATGGGGCAGACTTCCTATCATGTAATAAGCCCCAACTAATATTTGTTTGTAAAATTAATGAAACTAATAGTAGCCAATTAGCCATATAACATTTCTTTGGAATGAAGTAATTGATTTGTCTCATCTTTATGACCTTATAAAAAGCATAGATTGAGGGACAAATAAATCCATGTTTTTAATTCAAAGTACAAAAAAAAAACCCAGACTAGCTACTGGTATAGCCATTCCGCAGGTAACATCTCTCCCTAGAATTAGCTACAAGAAACATACGAGGTACTATCCTTTTCCTTTTGTTATATATTCACCCCTTGACCTAAATTCAAATTCAAACATTCTAACATTTAATATATAAGCACTCAAAAATCCAGTCTTACAATCAAATGGCTGTAGGTATGTGTGGAAGAAATCATACTTAAAACCAACAAAAGTAATTTCATCTAACTTATTAAACATTTTTTCTGAGACAAAAACATTATCGTAAAATAACAGCTTAAGATTTTACCTTCACAGTAGACTGGAAGCAGGATACTTTCCGAACTTGTCTGCCAGTATCACAATCCCATAACTAAACTTCTGTTAAGAAATAATTTCTAAACAGAACGTTAAAATCTCAATTAGGAGGTAAGTTTTCTAATAATTATAAATGTTACACATTCAGGTAGAAAAATCTTGAAATAAAGCATAAAATATTTAGCATTTATACTATTACTAAAATTAAATCATATAGTAAGTTATCAACTTAGCATAGCAAGCTTACAATCTAAAACAAGCTCGAGACAAATTTTACTATTAAACTATACGTCAACAGAATGAATGGTCTGAATACTGAATATTTATGGGCATTAAATATTACAAATGTTTAAATTTCAAACTTATTCTCCAAAATAGTCCACCATGACCTAATAAACATTGAACATAAAGTATTTATACTAAAAAACTATCAACTCCATTAATTCTTACTTGAAAGCTCCTTCAACATGCATGGCAGAATTTACTACTGTTATACTAATTCAAAGAAGCCAGCTACAGTGTATTACTTGTAAACATATTTAAAATAATTAGAGGACCTCCATTAAGTGTCCAAGGTTAGTTTGACTTAAGGAGGGTAAAGATTTTCAAATTTTTCACCCCATTTCCTAAGATAACATATACATTTTACAGCATGTCTGAGCACCCATTTATATACATGCATACAAATATATATATACATACACACCCATGTATATGGATAAACTTAAGACTATCACCTGACTAAAATTAAAAATTTATCTTTAACATTTAATAAAGTTTGTTAATAGTGGAGGCTCAAGCAGCCTGGAATTATTTTTAACAAGAAAATTCAATGAAGAAAATGACTCAATACCATCATTTAAAAGTAAAGTTCATACTGATACTGTTTCAACTACTCATCTCCATACTGTAACAGCAATTTAATATTTGCCTCTAAGCATTATTATAGTACCTTAGGAATAGTCTAATAAAAACGAAGTATTTTAAATTCTATTTTTGGAGATTATACTGATACTGAAAACAAACAAAAAGCTTAGGCCCTAAAATAGTATTTGTCTCAACGGAACAGTAGTAATAAAATTACTGACTTAAATATATGTAATACTGCTTATGCAACACTGTCATCACCACAAAATACAGTTTACCACGTGTAAATCTTACCTTGAAATTTTTTCACCTATTGGCAATGTCTAGAAATCACCTGAGCTAATGAACTCATTTAAAGTATGTTATGGGGCGCCTGGGTGGCTCAGTCAGTTAAGCATCTGCCTTCAGCTCAGGTCATGATCCCAGGGTCCTGAGACTGAGCCCCAGGTCGGGCTCCCTGCTCAGCAGGGAAGTCTGCTTCTCCCTCTCCCTCTGCACACCCTGCCCATGCTAAGGCTTACATGCGCTCACATGCTCTCTCTCTCTCTCTCTCCCTCAAATAATAAATAAAATCTTTAAAAAAATAATAAAGTGTATAATAAGGTATGTCCTGGTTCTGTAGAAGCCCAGGAAACACCTACCCCTTTGGGCATACTCCAAAACTTACTTTCCTAATGCTTCAAACTATTTAAACAGAATTCTCAGATAAGCACAGACTATTTAAAGCTAATCTTGGATACCTTTTTTTTTTTTAAAGTAAGATTACAGTTTCCTTTAAGTATTTGGCTGAGGGCTTCACAAATCTAATTCCTCATATAAATATTAAAGGCTGAATTTGTTTAAGGGAAGTATTTTATGAAGGCAATAATATACAGTGGTTCAGAGTTCTGACCCTCCAGTCAGACTGCTTGCCCTCTAGTGGCTGTATGACCTAGGGCAAGTTACTTAACCTCTCTGTGCCTCTCTTTTCTTTTCTGGAAATGAGAATAAAAATACTTATATGAATTAAACATGTTAATATATGTAATACGGAACATATGTAAAAACATATGTAATATATGTTAAATAGAACAATGCCTAGCACACGTAAGTGCTCTCTAGAGAACTTTACCATTATTTTTAAAAACTAAATATTAAACACTAAGCATATGGTAATTCACTTTTCTGCCAAGCTCAGATGTTCAGAAGGTTCTTATGGGTTGGGGCCGTTATATTTCTTTTGCTGTACAATACTGTACAGGCAAAAATGTAAATTATTCTCCAGTCTAACTCATCTTTGTTTCTTCAAATATCTTACAAACTAAGATAAGTAAGTACTTTTAAGCCCAAATTCTCCATTTTCTATAACTTGATATAATAGTAACTCTGGAAAGAACAGCTTTAGTCATGGGGTTTCCATCAATAATAAGCCTTTAACCTATTTCCAGTCTAATACTTTTCAGATGCCTAATACTTTTAAGAGGTGTATTATTAAGGTTAGAGCAAAATCATTTTTTCTAAAATGAATGTACAGACAAGCCCCCAAAGGCTAAAATCTAATAATGTATGTACTGGTCCCTTGGGTCACTATAGCTATTTCACTTTCTTCCAGATTTAAGGATATAATAACTGTTCTATCAGCAGAGGTTGTCAAGATCAGTTGGTTTTTTTCTTCACAAGCTTCCAAGGAAGGAAATGTAATAAGAGCTGTTATCTTTTGAGTGTGTCCATTAAGTTCCAGAAGTTTTTCTCCTGTCTGAAATACCAATAAAAATTTCAATAGGCTCATATCATATTTATAACTTAAATAATCTTAAATGACATTTAGAAGAATCACCATGTGAAAATAACATAATTCCATTTTTAATTACTTAGATGTTATAACTTAACTTTAAGCAATCAAATAGAATCTAAACAGGTACTGAAAGAGTAGCCATAAATAATTATTTTCTAATAGAAAATACCAATTTTTAGCATAGTTTTACATGAAAATTTAAAGGGCTATTCTTTTTTCTTTAAATTTTTTTATTGTTACGTTAATCATACGTCATTAGTTTTTGATGTAGTGTTCCATGAGTCATTGTGCATAACACCCAGTGCTCCATGCAGAATGTGCCCTCTTTAATACCCATCACCAGGCTAACCCATCCCCCCACCCCCCTCCCCTCCAGAACCCTCAATTTGTTTTTCAGAGTCCATCGTCTCTCATGGTTCGTCTCCCCCTCCGATTTACTCCTAAAGGGATATTCTTAAAACCACACCGTATGGTTTTAAGAATTGTATAAATTAAGCATAAAAAAATCAGTAACTAATCTGTAGGAAAAAAATATGGAGTTCTCATTATCCAAGTATTTGTTATCTAACCTCCAAAGTTAAAATATTGTTGAAGGAAATAAAAGTTAGCATAACAACACAATACATATACTGTACACATCCAAGAGTAGTAGTTCAACCATTCATAAAGTCAGTCTCCACTCCATCTCTAACATCAACAGCTATTCATTCCTATCTATCCAGTGTCTTCAGCTATCAGTCTCTCACTGACTTTCCCAAGTAGTAAACACAAAAAATCCAATGTAAATGTAACATAAATTGCAAATCCTTCCAAGGTTGCAGGATTTCATGAACATGGTGAACATAATGTTAAATAACTGCTTTAATCACTGTCAAAGCCACTGAGAAATGAGGATCTGAAAGAGTCAGCCCAGATAACAATCCAAGTAACAGTGAGAAGATAAACGTTTCAAAGGAGAATAATTTGAATATCAAAAGATCAGCCTTAAAAATTTGGTGAGGGCACCTGGGTGGCTCAGTTGGTTAAGCGACTGCCTTTGGCTCAGGTCATGATCCTGGAGTCCCGGGATCGAGTCCCACATTGGGCTTCCTGCTCAGCAGGGAGTCTGCTTCTCCCTCTGACCCTCTTCCCTCTCGTGCTTTCTATCTCTCATTCTCTCTCTCTCAAATAAATAAATAAAATCTTTAAAAAAAATCTTTAAAAAAAAATTTGGTGAAGCCTTAAATATTTTTGAAAAAAAATTAGCCTTTTATTACATTCCTATTAAAGTCAAACATGAGAAGACTATTACATTATGCTATCGTACAAGTTTGAAATAAAAATTCTAACTCCCACAAAAATAAATCAACACTTGATTCATTTTCAGAGTCAGCACATAGTTGCTGATAACTTAAATTTTGTTCAGTAAGATTAAAACTTTCTCTATTATGAAATATTGGCCCCCCATTTTAAATGGATTCATCGTAAGTAGCCTTTTCCAAGTACTAATTAGTTTCAGTATACTTATATGCAGGTATATACCCAAATAATGTTTATGAATGCAAACTCAACTATACAGTCATGTCTTTATTACACAATTCACATAGAATTAATACACACCTGGGCATTCCACACAACTACAATTCCGTCATCACCAGCAGACGCAAATCTGGGTACAGAAAAAGGTTAAAAAAAAAAAAAAGAAAAGAAATTTCTGGTGACATTTATATGCTAAAATTTCTAAGAACTATCAGAATTTATTAATGGTATTTTGACTAACATTAAGGCTGATTAAGTTAAGCTAATTCAACAAATAATTATGGACTACCTTCTAGGTTTTATGCCAGGTACTGAGGTCCAAAGATAAATAAAGCCATTCACAGCATTACAATGAATCAACTGCTAAAACTGTAAGAAAGAGGGAGACCTATAAATAATCTTTAAAGTCCTTCCTGGCTTTAAAAATATGATTAAACCCTGACAGGTGATATGAAACCAAACTGAGGAAGAGCTTCACTGATAGGAAGTGATATTCCAAGAGTGGAACAAAGGAATCATGTCTCTAGATAAGTTCATTATTTCTATTATTTTCTCTGTAAAGATATTTTAACTTTACTATTTAAAGCCAAGATCTCTCCTTTGCTCCACCTGGCTCTTAGTCTTTTCATGTAAATACTGTGTTCTTAGTTTAGAAGCTTTGAGGTTTTTTGAGAGTTTTTGTTTTGTTTGTTTTTTAGTGAAAATGTTTGAAATGCAAAAAGGTAAAGGGAAGTTTATTTCCTGCCATGAGAAAAGAGCTGTGATGAACTCAGTTATAGCTTCTCCCTCCTCTTTACTTCCCATTCACTATACATAAAGGAACAATCATATACATTTTGTAGAGTAGAAGATATCCATGATACAAAGAATGCCAAGAAAAATAATTTGTTGTACACGATTACTCATCATAGCGAATGCATTACAGTATCAAGAAAGCACTGTTCTCAAGCAATGTCCCAACACGTGGTATAAAATCACACCATAAGCATGTCAAGTAATTTATTAATAAAGTAGTATATGTTTGTAAATGATTCTTTAATGAATCAAAATTGATCCAAAGTTGTTCCCAAATCACTTTCATTCACCTAAATTCAAGGTTTGTTTTTTGAAAAGGAAAGAAGTGGTATTACAGAAAGCCAGCTATGAACTGTGCATAACTGGCCCCTTATAGTTAACAACCATTAATAATAATAATTAAAAAAAACATTAATAATGATAATCCACTGGGAGCTGTGACATTTTAAAAATGTGTTCTTCCTTGCAAGACTGTTAGTGGGTTTCACAAAATCTGGGTGTGCCTTGTCTTCATTACAGGAAACATTGTTAGCCATACAGGTCTATCACTGGGGAACTGATACACTAAGACACAAAAGTTACTTTGTTACTGAGAGTATCAGGAAATTCTAACAAATTTTACCACTATATGAGTTCCATAAAATCTCACTACTTCAGCCATTTCCTTAAAACTCTAAACTGAGCTTCAAGTTCTAATATCTCATGCTCAGTTTCGGAGTCCCATAAGTAACTGTTGTCTTCACTGGCTCTGACAATTCCCATACTCATTTCAGTATTCATTTCTAAATCCTTCAATTATATTTCCTACTATAGGAGCTAAGAGATTACTCAGGAGATGGGAAATTAGTTAAATACATCCTCACCAAAGTCTGTTAACAATTTTTTAATATGGAACTATATATCTTTTTTAATGGAAGGACCTTTAGAACTTCCTAGGTAGCTAATAAGAAATCACATGCAGAATTATTTTTTAAATCCATGCCTAACATTTATTATTTCAAAATGAAGTATATAAAAAATCTGGAGATTAAAAAGAAAACATTTTTAAATTAAAAACACAATTTCTTATTTAATAACATACATTTTTCTGAATCAGAATACGAAACAATGCCTAAGTATCAAAAACAGTTGCTGAACGTCAATCTTTAATAGCTTATGTTTCTAGGCCTATTGATTTCTTTTTATTTGTATAGTGATGGTGGGGAGGCAGGACTCAAGGTCTTAAGTTTTCTTTGGTATAAAACATCAATTTCTATTGATTCTTCAAACTCTTATAATTGCTTTTCTCCTTTCTAGAAGACTGCAGGTTTAAAATACATACTTTTTTCTAACCCTGATTTTTAACTTCTCATTATTGTTTTATCATGTCTGAATCTCATGAGTTTACAATGAGAGACGATTGAACGGTTGAGAGTTTAGAAATGAGATATAGAGCATTTCACCTCAAACTTTAATTCAATCAGTAGTGAACAAAAGTTAAATCTAAACAATGCTCAATGTAATGCATGAAATCACAGCCAATTTTTTATTGCTCAGAGGTCAATTACCCAGTTGGTGGATATTCGGGCCTTTCAATTTTCTTATATATTCTCTATTGCTGCCTTTTTCTTTTTTTGCCATTTCAGTATTTGTTATTACCTCCTCTAAAGAGAAAACATGAAGCAAACCAATATAACTTTGCTACATATTAGTATCACCCATAAAATAACGAATAAAGGGTTGGGAGATCATTTGCAAATTACAATTATCCATGCTATTAGGATGGATAATTGAAAACTAGCTACACTTTATCAGTTTATCTTAAACTATAATCAGTTCATCCTAGTCAGTCAAGCACACACTTCAGCCATCTGCAAATCAGAAATGACAATTCAACCCAAGAATTCCTAATAGTAAGATACATTGTAATTGCTAAAAGAAGTCATGAACTATAAAAAAGGGAGTAATTAAAATGCCAGTAAGGTTTAAACTATTCAATGGAAGGAAGAATTGTGGCTGTACTGCATTAAAATTACATGTAGTAACTTTTTAAAACATTCTAAACTCACAGAATCCAGATTCAAGTCTATAGCTAAGATTTTAAGAGAAACACTCCTTACCGATTAGTACAAAATGTATTTAGTGAGATTCATGCTAGGTGACAGGGAAATGTCAAGATCAATTACATGTGGATCTTGCTTCAAGATGTCAAAATTCAGCGATTGTTTAGAAATGTATTTCATCAACTTTAAGATATCAAGTATAAGACATTCTATACTGCCAATTATAACTGAAAGACACTAACAATTTTATGATATCTCCAAATTTCAGAGATCTTAAAATAGGGAAAAAAACAGGCTTCTTAGAATCAATGAAATATAGTAACTGCCATATTTATTGGTGTTTATGATTGGCATTTTCGAGTCCAACAAATCTCTGATTATCTCTAGGAGGTTTAAGGCACCAAAGAAATGCTTTTTCAATGAATAAATTAATGAATAAGCAAACATTTAAGTGTTGCAAGGGCTCTGTAAAATAGGTAATCATTAAGTGTATTAAAGTAACCTCATTTTTCCTTTTATCATTAACATATGAATATACTGTCAAAACAAATATTAAAATAAAAAAAAACTTAAAACCCAGAAACCCAACACACACATAAATTCCTTTTCTTTTCATGTTGCTGTCCCATACTTATATATATCTTTCCACTTGAAACCATGTCTTCAAAAACACTCATTGAGAGTATATGATTAAATGACCCAACAAGGGGCAGCTGGGTGGCTCAGTCGTTAAGTGTCTGCCTTCAGCTCAGGTCATGATCCCGGAGTCCTGGGATCGAGCCCCACATCGGGCTCCCTGCTCAGCCAGGAGCCTGCTTCTCCCTCTCCTGCTCCCCCTGCTTATGTTCCCTTTCTAGCTGTCTCTCTCTCTGTCAAATAAATAAACTCTTTTAAAAATAAATAAATAAATGACCCAGCAAAAACTATATGCATGAAAAGAAGTTTAACAAGGTGAAACATGATTTAATGAAGACCTATAGCAGAGCTTCTAGAATGTTCCATCCTCTCCTACCCTAATTATGAGAACTAAACTTATCATGAGAGTTGATGATTCACTCATTCATTCAAGAAATATTAAACACTAACTATATATTAAGCATTAAATGTAACTATATGTATATTTGATAATATATATTTGATACTGAATGTAAAGAACAGTAGACTAGTTCTTGCCCTTAAAGAACTCAGTCTACATTACTAAGTGATGCTATAGGGTCCAGATCATGAATCCATTGAGAATTCTCATTTGTACTCCTTTCAATCTATAGAAGTCATTCCTTTTAAACACCTTCCCTTTGAACATCTCAGAGAAAGTACTCTCATTCTTGCCAACTGTGCACTGAAAAGTACAGCAAAACTTCACAAAGATTTGTATAACACAAAATATTTTCACAAGTAATTCCTATGTCTATTACTTAAGGGCTTATTTAATAGTTCTTATTCATTTGAATTTATTTCAATTAGGTCAAAGGTGCTACAGATTCAAATATAACCTTAGAGGACATAATGAAAGGTACAGTCCATAAAACTTCCTGTATTCAATATCTACCATAAAGCACTGGAAAAATAAAAAGAGAATATTATTATGGCAAAATAAAAAATCCTGTGGTTAACTCCTCACCTAATCCACAAGTACTTTAGTTGCACGATACAACTAAAATAGTATATATTTTTTACAATAAAATAGAAATGAAAAATGGTACAATACCAAAAACCCAACCAAACTGAAAAGATAGAAAACTTCCATTTAAAATAGATTTTTACTTATCTGGTATGCTTGAACTACTTGAAGAAAATCAGAGAAGTATGTGGAAACTTGTAAGAGAAGCGGAAGGGAACCTGAAAGCGTTTTCATGAACCATACACATTGATATCAATGATCCTTTCAATAGATTTACTGGAACATCAAACTTTTTTTTCTTAAGAAAAATGCATACATTAACATACCTCTAATATCTCAATGTCTAAGGTCCTTTTTTAGCTCACACACATACACATAGTTTTCATGGTCATTAGGAGAGGTAAACCCTTCATAAATTCTTCCCTCCCCAAATCACAAACAGAAAGCTAAACTACATCAAAGTTTACAAATATTAGAAACCCAAAACTCCCTAGGACTTCTATCAGGGGAAACCTCCATTCCTTGAGCTCAAACTTCTGTGAAAGAATTTCTACTACTAGAGAAACATCCCTGGCCTCTCTCTGCCTGGCTGGTCAAATAAATGAGTGTATGAGAATGAACTGAGCATGCTCAGTTAGGACCCTGCAGGGTTTTCTCTGAGGATTTATCTGT